CTTAATAATCATAGGATATCCGTTTACCTGATCCTGGCAGTGGAAAGTTTCTCATTTCCTTTGCTTTGCATGCTTATTAAAATGCTTCTGTATTTTAGAATAACACCACTGCTACATTTCTATCACTAACCTCCATGGGGGCTTTAAATGCTTTAGATGGCTAATTATTTATCCAACATATGGAAGTAAGGAATATTTTCAGACATTCATTGAGCTGATTTTTTGGCACATTTTTCAGATTATTGCTTTTGGCAGTTTGTGAAAATGTTCTCTCCTCTGAAGCTGCAGAGTCTGAATTGGTGTTCCACTGTGCCAGGGCAGGGCTGAATGTGGTAATTTATTGTGTACCTTTTCCATGGTTGAAACAAAATACAGGACTATGTAGCACTTTAAAGACTAACAAGATGGTTTATTAGATGATGAGCTTTCGTGGGCCAGACCCACTTCCTCAGATCAAATAGTGGAAGAAAATAGTCACAACCATATATACCAAAGGATACAATTAAAAAAAAGTGAACACATATGAAAAGGACAAATCACATATTTTCATATGTGTTCACTTTTTTAAAATTGTATCCTTTGGTATATATGGTTGTGACTATTTTCTTCCACTGTTTGATCTGAGGAAGTGGGTCTGGCCCACGAAAGCTCGTCATCTAATAAACCATCTTGTTAGTCTTTAAAGTGCTACATAGTCCTTTATTTTGTTTCAGCTATACCAGACTAACACGGCTACATTTCTATCACTATTTTCCATGGTTCTGAGTTCTGCTTGATGTGAGGCCTCTGAGTAGCATGCCACAGAAAATATGGTGGGGATGGCATGTGTGTGTCCTTCCATCTTTTACCTCCAGGACTAAGTGAAAGCCCTGGAGAGGTTATCTCAATCATTGGTCCAGTTACTATGCAAAAAAGTGCTTTTTTAAATCGTTAGGTTACTTGAGTTAATTAATAATTTGAAACACCTCTAAGCACAAAGTTTAACATCTTTACAATCATATTAGCTGATTGTTTTCACTGCACTGTGGTTAGAGGAAGAAAATCCCTATCTATTCCGGGGATGGGGAGGAAGATTCCACCAGCAGGACACTGGATCCAGCCTGCAGTCACCTTGCCAATACCATATTACAAAGCAGCTCACGCCGCTTTAAACAGCTAGCTGCTCTCAGCTCTGGACACTGGGGAGGGAGAGGAAGGCTTCATGTACTGCCCCTTCCCTCTAGCAAAATCTGGCCAATAGGAGCTAAGAAATTTTGCTGGGTTCAGGGGCAGTGTGGGAAGTCTCCTCTCTCTCTCATTCTCCAGTTTTAACTGATTTAAAAACAAACAAACAAACAATGACCAGAATTCAAGTTTTGCCTGTTTCTGCAGCATAGGATGACAATTTAAAACAGAAGCTTTAATATTAAGATTTTTTAAACGTTAACAAGAAGCAGTTCTGCTTAAAATCTGAAGTTACAATATCACAGTTGAACTTTATGTACGGTAAGTGATATCTTGAACAAACAGATCAGTACAGCCTACTTCATTCAGAGCTTCTGGAAGCAATACATTGCTTCTTATAATAGTTTTGTATAAAAAATATACTACAAGCAAGGTATTACACCCAATGAGCTTAAGAATGTGTTGTTATTCATTTTAATGGGGGAAAGTTTGAACTCATGGAGAAAGAAGAATCTCAGAAAGGGTACGTCTACACTGCAGGGCTTAAATCGAAATAAGCTATGTAAATTGACCTACATCAATTGCGTATCTTATTTCAAAATAGCTGATTTCAAAATTGGGAGCATCTACACAGCACTTATTTCAAAATAGAGCACTCTTCCGTCTCCTTCCCTTATTCCTTGTACAATGAGGGTTACAGGAGTAAGAAGTCCTCCAGCTTGACAGTATTTTGACACTATTTTGAAATAACTGCCTGCTGTGTAGATGGAGACTAAGTTATTTCAGTATAGCACTAATAATTTTGAAATAGTGTTGCAATCTAGATGTACCCTAAGTTTGGGGATCCCCAAACTGAGATGCATGGCATCAGAAACATACTCCTGCTCCCAATGCTCCCAATGAGATTTCTGCCTTTGACTTCAGTATGGTAGGACCCTATGACCAAAACAACATTTGCTATGCATTACATTTTTTCAAAAATCAATTTTAGTTTTTAAAATTTCAGAAAATGCAAAAGAACAAAAGTTCAATAAAATGTATGAGATTGTATGTTGTCTCATTAATTCTCAGAGACAGATTTGAAGGTGTAAAACCTATGAACTCTTGCTATGCCTAGTCACCCACCCCTACTGTTTTTTTAGTATTCTATTTTGTTTTTCTAGATCAGTGGTTCCCAAAGGGTGTGTCTAGACCCTTGTGTGGTTTACCGGAGCGGTCAACAAAGGCTTCCCTTGTCAACTGTGCTGTGTCTAGACTGCCGTGCTGTGCCGGATCAGCTGATTGTCAGCACAGCACGGCGGGCATTTTTATTTAAATGAAGCAGGGATTATTTAAATCCCCATTTCATTGACTATGTCGAGGAAAAAACTTTACATGGCTCCATCAACGGAGCCATGTAGTCTAGACACACCCAAAGTATGGTCCATGGACCACTAGTGGTCCACAACTCTCTTGCAGGTGGGCAGTGGGCCTGGAACTCACTCTCCTGCAGCTTACACGGGAAGGAAGTGACTCTGTGCACTGCCATTCCCCTTCCCTCTGGCTGGGGGAACAGCAGCACTGGAAACCACATGTCTGGAGACTTTCTCTGCTGCTCCCATTGGCCAGAATCACAATCGATGGGAGCAGTGGGGGACAGGGAGCCCGGTAATTGCCTCCGATTGCACACATGCCATGGCCCTTCACCCCCCATCCTCATCATGTACTCTCTCCCACCAAGACCATTCATCCCACTTCCTACACCCTTCCTTCCTCCCAGAACCCCCATCCTCAGTCCACTCCTGCACCCAATCTCCCAGACAGACCCCCACCCCCGCTCTCAACCCACTTCTGCATCCTACTTCACATTCAGACCTCCCACCTCCTCATGCACTCATTTTGTCATCATTGGTGGTTGGCTTGTGGTCCGCCAAAGGTCGGAGTTGAGCAGGGTGGGCTAAGGTCAAAAAGTTTGAGAACCACTGGTCCTAGATCATTTAAAGAGTTCTATTTTCTTTTTAAATTCAGGAATTCTGTATTTCATTTCTAAGCTATTTCAGAGCAGTACAAAAAAGGGGCTTACAGTGTGTGCAAAACTGTTTTCTTTACGTTTCCTCTTTGTGCATGTGTAGATTATATCTTGTTTGCAGTTGAGTCACCTAGCTCTCCTTAGTCAAATCAAATAGTGCTATCAACTTTTTTGTTTTCAGAACTTGTGAACTCACAACCGTCCAGAACAAGACAGGGGTCTCTGAATGGGCAAGAGTTTTCTGAATGCAAAAAGGTATGGGGAGAACAACTGGGAAATAATGGGAGAGATGTCATAGACAAGAGGTAGTGAGAAGAGATGTGATGGGATAGTTTTTCGATATCATTTTCTTCCATCCTTTGTTTTGCTTGTTTATGTAGGTTATAAGTTTTTCAAGACAGAGACTGTTTGCTTCTCCTAGTTTTCACTTCTACTTTGTGTAGTCCATTCTTAGTTGATCCTTATTATCATAATAAACCTGGTTAATAATACATTAATGTACCCATAAGAGAGGGAAAGTTCCAGTAGAGAGAAGGCTCAGGGCTGTAGAAAGAGATTGACAGTGGGCAAGAGAGGGAGAGTTGAGGAAGGAAGCCTTTTTATTGTTTTGATATTAAAATTAATTTGTGCATGCAGTGCTATTATAATTGTCACATAAAAGTTAGGCAATTAAAGTTAATAGCATTATTAATTTGTCCACATTGCACATATGTTAAAGAACCTTTATTTTTGCAGTTCTTGACTTCATTCACAGTTTTCTAGCTAAACCATCTGTAGCCAGTGCAAGTGTTAACTTTGCAATTCTAGATGGAAAAGGAGTCCAGAGATAAGTGCTTCAAATCTCCATCTACAAAAAAACACCACCACCACTTGTACAAAACCAATATAGGGATTTGGAAAAGGAACATATATATATATAATAGTTTATTATAATAATTATTATAATTATAATGTGAATGAAATTTGCAAAGTCAACTGCCTGGTAAACCTAGATTACTACACTTCTTCAGATTTCTATGTGAATCACACTGCAGAACAATCCCAAATTGAAGAATAGAATTACAAAAGACTTTTAACAATCCCCCAAAGCATATTTCTTGTTATTTATTCATTAATCTCAGACTTTCTCAGCCCGATTTTTTGGCTTGCTCACACTAAGAAAACTGTACTCCGGAGAGCCAAATTCCACAGTTGTGAATGTTTGCATTTCCTCAATTCATTTCCATTTCCTTAGATTTCTCTCTCCAAATACATATGCTTTAGCCACAAATCCCCCAAGGTATCAGAAACTGTTGTCCATACTTAAATTTCCCTTGGCTTTTTTTCTCCAAAAACAAAAGACATCCCCAACAACACAAAGTCCTTAAATGGAAATACTACAGTACATAATTAATGGGCTGAGCTATCATCTCTCTAACATATTTTTTTTTACCTTCAGATCACTCTGAACAGTTAACATTGCCCTTCACATTCAACTGTCAGAAACCAGAAAAAGAAAAGTTCCCATAAATATTCCCACACACCCCACCCTTCCCCCAGTAGCTTCTACTTGTATTGTTCTTGTCCCTCATCCCTCCGGGTTTTTGAGTATTAGGGTGTAAAGGAGACTGACTTTCCCAGCAAGGAAAAAAAACATCTTAAAAACCCTTTCCCAAGCGCTGTGTTAAACCGGGGCTCTCTGAGCTGAGTAAAGTTTGTAGGGATGATGGCTGCAGAGATTTGAAGCGACAATCCCGATAGATTGCTTCAGGGAAGCTTCTTTCTTGGGGTGGATGGAAGTAAGACTTGGCAGAGAAGAGGGAAACAGAAACAGACCGAGTTCTCTCACCTGTCAGAATCCCGCAGGGGACAGCGATACCTGGGCTTCTGCTACGGAAGAGCTGGGAGCCCATGGCTCTGGGGCAAAGATAGCCGGTGAAGGAGGACAGGGCTGGGGGGCAGCAGATCCCCTGGGCTAGCTCGGTTGTTCACACGGTGCCTGATAGAGGGGAAGAGCTCAGAGAGCTGCAACTGCCTCTGGTCCCCTCTGTATCTGCTGCATCAGCAGCCGTGCTAGGCATTTCCTGTTTGTTGTTTCAAATCCTTTAAGTTTTCTCTTCACATCAAAACCAGTTGGCCCCCCTCATTCACCCTCCTCGTCTACCCCAGTGGTCTCTGAAACCCCCCGCGCGGCAGGATCCCAGAGCTGAGAGACATGTACAAATAAAGTCAGATCTCGCAGACCGCAATGTTTAGGCTAAAACCTACAATGAGCAAAGCAAGACTTAAAGAGACAGACGCACTTTTTGTAATTCCTGGGTATCTCCTACTGCCCAGCCCTCATTCAGGATAGGAGTGGGAGCGCGGGAGAGAGCTGCATGTCCGGCTCAGGATTACAACCGGCCTGTTATTGTTCTCGTGTCCCTTCCTCTCTCAGTGTATGAAAAAAATCAAAGAGGCGAAGAGAAGTGTGTTAAATCCAGATTACAGGACGTTTCCAGTCTGAGAATGACTTTTGTTGGGCTAGTTTATTTTGACTTACATCACTCTTTTAAAATGTGTACGTGCTGTGCCAGTCCTAAAGCCAATCACATGCTTCAGTTGTAGAGAAAACCAGGGAAATTTTCCCCTACCTCATTGAACTATGTATTGCGGGGATCTAAATTTTCAATGACTTACCTGAGGGAGAAAGTATTTGCGCCGAGCTGTCTGTAGATGCACGTGTTGTGCTTTATAATAAAGCAAAAGACAAAAGTTACCTCTGCCGGCGACTTCCGCACTCTTTTATGGCTCCTTCCAGTCTCGCTCAGAAATTTTACAAATTCATCACCGAATAAACCTTATGAATAAGGCTGCACTTCAGAGTGAGCAGTATGCAGGTTCAGGATTTGTTTTTATCTCACTGCAAATGCGCTTGACAATATTTATTCTTTTTTATCCACTTTGTGTTATGTACTTTAAAAAAAATGGTCTGGGTTTCATCTTGAACATACTACCAAGTTATTGTAATACTTTTTGAAAACGAAACGAAAAGATCGTGTGTTCCCCTTTTTCAAGGAAATAAAGTTCAAAACACTGTCTCAAGTACTAGTTAATATTGAATTCTTCTCTTTTTGAGCTGAACTCAGGATTTCAGTAAATAATCAGAAATTCATGGAATTTTCTTCAGTTCCTCTGAGGTTAATAAGCCTACTTATGAACATAAGCCATAGTTGAAATGTGTTTTCTGTTTCTGCTTTAAATGTTATGAAAACACTTGAATATGCTTCCTATATGTGAAACCAGAAGATTTACCTGGTGTTGCCTGGATCCTTAAAATATATGTACTTCATTTAAATCATTGCTTTGGTCGGAGCTGAGGATGTGGGCTAAGTATGCAAATTACCTTAGAGAGAGAGGACAGTCCCAGCCCTCTCTCACCGCAGCAGCTTGAGGCCAGGTGGGAAGTGCTACTGCATGACCACAGCAGCTCCAGCAGGCACAGCCAGTGAAGGGGTGCATGCCTCCCAGCTGGGGCAGGATGAAATTAGTCTGGGTATGGGCTATGGAAGGATGATCTGTCTCCTGGCAATGGCAGTTGTGGGGTAGTTTTGGATTGGGTGCCAGGGTTGACGTCATATTCAGGACAAACCAAAATGATTTCCTGGTTCAAACAAAGAAAATGAACATACAAATACCTAATGAAGCCCAATTCATGCCACTTCTCTATAATAAATGACAATTTTGCTAGATCCATTCCAGTGATGAGAGCTGAGGAATCCTAGCTAAATACTTTTAAGTTTTTAAAACTTTTACTTTAGTGATAGCTAATAGGTATGTGTCAAGCAGATAATCCCAAAACTGGGCATGCTTGGGTGTTTAGTAGGTTGAGTGCCATGGTCTTCACACTCATAGGGAGCACTCCCTAGTAGTCAAGATTTAGATTCCTCAACCTGAAAAGGAAGTTTTGGTAGGGGACTCCAGGACCTCTTGCTGCACTGGGCTCCAGCCTACGGTAAATAAAAGGGTTCAACACCCAGGAGCAACGTAAGGCTGCCCAAGTTGGACCACTTCCTACCACACCTCTACTGTCCCAGTTCACAGTCTGTACAGGAAATCATGAAGAGAGGCAGCTCACCACATAGTGCCTCTTCATGACCAGGCAAGGTATGATAACTCTCTTCCTCAGGAAGCAACAAATGATTTATCTCATACTTTGGCCCTCCAGCCTGATTAAATATAATTCTCTTGTCTTCAGGAGTAGCTCATAAACAAAAGGAGGATTAACATAAATAAACCAAGTTCATATGGCAGAGAAGGCAGAAATTACTTCCTCTCATGGCATACCTGAAGCAGCTCCTCCTTTCCCACAGGGAAAGCTCTTTGGGCAGTTTTTGTATGAAGAGATTCTACTTCCCCTCAATTCTTCACTCAAGCACTGCAAGTTGCAGGTCTTCCCCCTGTTCTGTCTCCAAATGAGTTGTTCTGCTCTCTTTTCACTTCTCCTTCAGCTTGTGCACCTCTTGCAGGTGTGGTGGGGCAGAGCAGGCTGTGCCCAGAGCAGCTCTTCAACTTCTTGTTGTCCCTATAGGGTCCCCAGTCCCCAATCACACTTCTCCCCTGGCCTTCCAGGACTCCCTGGGGATGGAGCTCCCAGCCAGTTTGCACTCCTGGGTGCTGTGGCTCTCTGGTTCAGCCATATCCGTGGTCATGCCATCCCACGGATGTTGCCAGATCAGATAATCCCAGATTTTGGAGGTTCAACCTGTATATCTTTTTAAGATGGGGTGATCAGAACTCCATGCTGTATTCAAGATAATAATGATTTATATAGTGGCATATGGAACTTGCATTTTACAGCCATTTTAATTACCTTGTGGAACCCAACATTTTAACTTTTGTGTGTGTGTGTGAGCATGCTTACCTGCTTCAACTTTGTAAATAACTCTCATTTATTTTTTTCCTAGTTAATAAATCTTTAGCTAATTTATTATATGATTGTGTCCAAGTGCTGTGTGTGGTGTGAGATCTGAGTCAAGTGACCCAGGGTAAGAGACTGGTCCTCTGGGACTGGGAGTAACATGACTATTATTGTGAAAATGCCTAAGTGGCAAGACAGACCAGATTGCTCAAGGGGACTCTTTGTGATTTCATGTTAAGGCTGTTATAGTGCTTGAAGAGTTCACACTTGATACTTGGCTGGTGAAACCTAATTATAGGACATACTACCAATTTGGGGTTTGTGTCCTGGTTTGTAACAGTTTGCCCTGAGTTTTGCATGCACAATTGTGATATACTGAAACATGGATCTTCACAATATTATTTTTGTTTCTAGCTTCTAATAGTTTAGTGGACGTTTGTAAAATATCTTGAAAGTGGAATATACCTTAAAAGTGCTTTATATTCATATTTCTTCTTATTTTAATATTGTTATGAAAACAGTACAACCAGGATTTATTGTTCTTTTCAGTTTGTTTTCCTGGCTTTGAATATGAGTTTATATATTAATTGACCTAGATAACTCCTGAGCTAAATTCATCCCCAATTGGTGTCTCTACTGAAATAAAAAAAATCAATCCATACTCCTCATTAGATTCAAAATACTTCTCAACTACTACTATATGATTTTTCTCTCATACATTTTTGTAAACCAGGTTTTTTTCAGTGTTCAACTTGAGTATATAATCCTTATTATAAATATTATTTCAATTCTTTCTGGAAAGATAACATGATCTGAAAAATCAAATCAAGTCTTCATTCCTTCTTTGTATTCATGATTATCTTAATGTAGAAAGCGATGAAAGTATGACACTTTCTTTATTTAATGCCATCAAACTTCAGTTTGTTCTCTTTTCAACTATAAATTTCATTTATTATTCATGTTGTAGGATTTTCACATACAATAGAATGAAAACATTATATATTGCACTTCAATTCATTTTTTTTGTTGCGTTGCCATTTTCATTATTTTCGGTACTAGTCTATTGCTACTGAATCAACTACTTTTTTGTAGTCAACAAGCTATATTGAAAACCCAAGTCGCTGTTTCCTGTTTCTCACGGGACACTGATTTAATTCTCTGGAGTACTAAACACTGCTTTTAACTCAAGTTATGGGTGGGTTTTTTTTAAACTCCATGACATTGTATCAGACCCAAGCATAGGGATTGATACATTGATTTAACACATTGATTGATATAACTAGATATCTAAAGATAAGCTGTTTGCAGTGTTGCTATAGTTGCTAAAGATAAATGTTTGCAGTGTTGGTCCTGGGATATGAGAGAGACAAGGTAGGTGACCAATTTGGATCAATTTTTGTTAGTGGAAGGTACAAGCTTTTGAAGTTGGTCCAATAAAATATATCACCAAACCTACCTTATCTATCTAAAGATAAGATCAGAAATACAGTTTTATTTGGATACTCATTCATTACAGTTATGTTAATCTTTGACATAAGTGAGTCCGTTTCTGTACTCTGGAAAGCCTAGGCCTGCACCAGTAAAACCAAAGGAGTTTTGCCATTGACTTCAATGGACTGAGGATTTTATGACTGAGAAATTGAGGGGAAAAATGTGTACACATTTATGTTTAAATGTATTAAAGAAAAAGGTTGACCCAAAGATTGAAATCCATATTCTAAAGACAGTATCCATAAAAAGATAACAAGTCGAAAGCAAGCCTCATGGATTCATTTGCATGGCCACTGCATTACAATTTAGAAAAATAAAAATGAATTGAACACAGGAATCTGAGCTCCTCAATTATTTTTTGTTGTTGATCAAAGATGCATTATAGCTGTATATTCATTTTGCAACATTTTAGCCATTATAGGCTTTCTCGTAAATAGCTACTTAAGTATGTTTTAAAACAAAAGTTAGTAATTCCTCATTTTCCAATTTTTGATAGCAGTAATAAGATGACTGAGAGTGCACTTTGCATTTTAAGAGTTAGAAGAAACATTTAATTCATGACCATAATTTGTCATAATTAATAATGAGAATGGCATCTGTGATTTTGTTGGTACTTTGCATTGGCAGTAGCACACTATAGTTACTTATAGCTATTTGGATGTGGAGAAAGGTGATGGAGGGTATGATAAACCCATTTCTAAAGAGAGCTTTTTCCCTTTTCTTCTATCCCAAAATATTCAAGAGCAATAGCCCAAGCTGTAATGCTGGCAGATCATGTGCCAGCTCATGCCAAGACTTCCAGGCCTCTATGAACACTGACTGAATGAACAGCTGGAAAATACTGTGTCTCACCTGTGTGTTCCTATTTTTAAAATAGATATTGAAGTTA